AAGATGCTATCTTTTCTCCAGTGCATGTTTTTGGCACCTTTGTCTAATATAAGATAATTGTAATTTTGTGGGTTAGTCTCTGTGTCCTCTATTCTATACCATTGGTCTACCAGTTGGTTTTGGTGCTAATACCATGCTGTTTTGGTTACTATTGCTCTGCAGTATAGTTTAAGGTCTGGTATAGTGATGCCACCTGCTTCACTCTTCCTGCTAAGGATTGATTTAACTGTTCTGGGTCTTTTATTTTTCCAGATGAATTTCATGACTGCTTTTTCTATTTCTATGAGGAATGTCATTGGGATTTTTATTAGCATTGCATTAAATCTGTATCGTGCTTTTGGAAGTATGGTCATTTTGATAATATTAATTCTGCCTATCCAAGAGCAAGGTAGATCTTTCCATCTTCTAAGGTTTTCTTTGATTTCTCTCTTTAAGGTTCTGTAGTTTTCATTGCATAGAATTTTCACCTCTTTCGTTAAGTTGATTCCCAAGTATCTTTTTTTTTTTTTTTGAGGTTATTGTGAATGGGATAGTTTTCCTTATTTCCTTCTCAGAGGATTTGTCACTGATATACAGAAATGCCTGTGATTTGTGGGTATTGATTTTATATCCTGCTACTTTTCTAAATTCATTTACTAGTTCCAGAAGTTTTCTGGTGGAGTTATTTAAATTCTTCTTTTCCTATACATATGGGATATGTATACATTTGCTTTGCTATCCTTTAATAAATCTGTGTCTGTGTCTTTTTTTTTTTTTAAAGACAGGTTCTTACTAAGTTGCTCAGGGCCTCACCAAATTGCTGAGGATGGTCTCACACTTGTGATCCTCCTGCCTGAGTCACTGGGATTACAGGCCTGAGCCACAGTGCCTGTGCATATCTTTGGATGTATCCTGAAATTCTTTTCAGTGGTGAAAGTCAAGAAACCACCTGAGCCAAGGTGAGGTCCCACTGCCCTCTTGGAAGGATGTCCTTGGACTCCAGTCTGGTGACATTAGGAGCAAAATAATAGCATCAAGTTTACACTATGAAAGGTAGTCAATATGAGCAGAAGAATTCTAGTGTTTTCTGGGTTGCTCTGAGTAGATTTGTAATGCTTCTGAAAACCTGTCCAGTAACAAGTCTGAGACCAAGGCCATTTGGCTGGCCTCAAGAATGAACCTGGGGATGGGGGTGTAGTTCAGCGACTGAATACCCACACATGCACATGGCCCTGGTTTGATCCCCAGCACCAAAAAAAAAAAAAAAAAAAGCAGAAAAACAAACAAAACAAACAAACAACAACAACAAAAAGAAGGGGGCAGAAGAATAAAAAAATTGAAAGGATTGTGGACAAGGGGATGCAACAGGGAAGGAGGACCCCTGTCTGTGCCTGAATACAAAGTGAAGAATGCCACCAAGTGGTTTTTTTTTTTCCCTCACTTAAGTAATTTTTTTTTAAGAGAGAGAGAGAGAGAGAGAGAGAGAATTTTTTAATATTTATTTTCTAGTTCTTGGCGGACACAACATCTTTGTTTGTATGTGGTGCTGAGGATCGAACCCGGGCCACACGCATGCCACTTGAGCACACTACCGCTTGAGCCACATCCCCAGCCCTCACTTAAGTAATTTTTATTTTTATTTATTTATTTTTTGGTACTGGGAATTGAGCCCAGCGACATTTAACCACTGAGCCACATCCCCAGTCCATTTTTTTTTTTTTTTTTTTGTACTGGGGATTGAACCCAGGCCTTGTGCATGCAAGGCAAGCACTCACCAACTGAGCTATATCCCCAGCCCCAGTCCATTTTTTTAGGGCCTCATTAAATTGCTGAGGCTGGCTTTAAACTCACAATCCTCCTGCCTTAGCCTCCTGAACTGCTGAGATTACAGGTGTGCACCACCACGCCCAGTTTAAATCATTTTTATTTGGGTTAAGTAAGTGTATTCTTGGCTAACTAAGAACATTTTTACTCTCTCTCCCATATGGAGAGCACCCCTCCAGGAGCTAAAGACATAAACTAAAGGATAATGGATAAAAATAACTTTTTAGAAATTACAACCACCAGGGAAAGAATCTCTGTTTGTCTCATTGGTTGATGAATGTGATTGTATTGACTGTCACTGTTAGAGAACTGGACTGGATCTGAGATGTCCTAAGTTTGTTATTGTTGTTATTACAGCTATTTTTACTATTATTATTCATTTATTTATTTTAAAAAGTATTTTAAAAATTGCCCTTGGGCTCAAAGGATCCTCCTCCTTCAACCTCTCAAGTTTAGCTGGAACTACATTTGTTGCATCACTGTGTCTGGCTGACTCCACTGGTGATGTCAATTTTCAAGGTCCATCTCCACTTTATATTCTGCTCCACAAGCAGAAAAGCTGATTTTTAAAAAGGGGCCCATGTGCTTCTCTCCCCTTGGCACCAAAAGGAAGTCCAAACCACAGAACACTTGGGCCCTTGATCATGAAGAATCCACCAAGTCCCACCTCCTACCTACAATAAAACCCAGGGCCACTCATCTTTTCTTAAGCCATTTTTTGACCTGAGGAGGTGCCTGACCTGCTTTCCTAAAAAGTCTCAATATGTGAATAATAAAATTTTTCATACCTCTAGCTGCATGTGTGATACCTTTCATATTGGCACCAAACCAGTTCTAGAGGTGTGGGGCTCATCATGCTGCCATGGACTGACTACAAAACCCAGCATGTCACTTTGGACCAGCAATCAGGAAACATCAGTCTGGTGTCAAAATACATTAAAGACTCTTCTGCACAGCAAAGTTTATAACAACGTGAAGAGAGAAATCTTTGCCAGATACTCTTCCAATTGAGGATTAATATCCATAATATATAAAGAACTAAAAACACCAAACAAATAAACAAAAAACTCCAAGGGCTGGAGTTGTGGTCAGGGGTAGAACACTTGCCTAGTATATATGAGGCCCTGAGATCGATTCTCAGCACCTCATATAAACTAAAAAAATACTTTAAAAAAACCCCAATAATTAATTTCAATAAAGGGGAAAATAGCTGAGCCTGGTGGCACAGGTTTATAAGCCCAAGTTTGGGAGACTGAGGTGGGAGGATCACAACATCAAATCCAGCCTCAGCAATTTAGGAAGACACTATCTCAAAATAAAATATAAAACTGGTGGAGATGTGGCTCAGTTATTAAGCCCCTCCGGGTTCAATCCCTGGCAACGCCACGCCCCCCCATCCCACTCCTACCCCTGCCAAAAAGGGCAAATGAACTAAATACATTTTAAAATTTTTTTCCTTTCTGTTCTCTCTCTCTCTCTCTCTCTCTCTCTCTCTCTCTCTCTCCCTCTCTCTCTCTCTCTCTCTCTCTCTCTCTCTCTCTCTCTCTCTCTCTCCCTCTCTCTCTCTCTCTCTCTCTCTCTCTCTCTTTCTTCCCAGGGATTGAACCCAGAGGTGCTTAACCAGTGAACCGCATTCACAGCCCTTTTTATTTATTTTTTTTTTTTAATTTTGAGACAAGGTCTCACTAAGTTGCTTAGGGCCTGGCTAAATTGCTGAGGCTTCCCTTGAACTTGCAATCCACCTGCCTCATCCTCCCCAGTCACTGGAATTACAGGAGTGAGATACCACACCTGACTAAACAGACACTTTTCTAAAGAAGAAATATACATGACCACCAAATATATGAAAAAATCTCCAACATCTGTAGTCATTGGGGAAATGCAAATCGAAACTACATTGGGAGTTTTGGGGATGTAGAATAGTGGTAATGCACTTTTCCTAGGATGCATGAGGCCCTGGGTTCAATTCCCAGTACTTCAAAAATAAATAAATAAAAAATAGATAACTAAATAAAAATTAAGCCTTAGTTAAATTGTTTAAGGTCTTAGCTAACTTCCGGCACCCAAACCTTTGTAAACACAATAAACGTTGACTGTTGACCACAGGTCACATGATCTGTGAAACTCCAAAATTTATATGAAGACATATACTTTCCTCCAAAAATGGATGAATCCCACTAACATGAGTGTGTAGTGTGTCTAGCCCCTGAGGGACACACAAGTGACCTGCACGGGGCCCAGGCCCACTACAGGGTGCGCCCGGCTATAGCTTGGGTCAGGAAGCTCTCTTAGGCTCCGCCCCGCCCCCCGCCCGCCTCTGCTCGAGGTCGCCGCCAGCGGGCGCCAGAGTACGCGGCTGGGGTCGGGGACAGGGGCTCGGGAAGCCCAAACTCGGAGGCCGCCGCGCGGAGGCGGAGGCCTTACGGCCTCGGCTGGGACACCGGCCCCCGGCTCCCGGCCGGCGGGTCGCGGGACGGCGGGAGGGGGCGCTGCGATCTTGGCCGCGGCCTCCACCCGAGCCGCGTGTGGGAGTCGCGATGTCTTCCCGGCCGGGGCGCGACGACGCGGGGGCGCGGGGCGTGCGGCGGCAGCGGGAGCCGGCGGAGCAGGAGCTGCAGCGGCGCCGGGAGCAGAAGCGGCGGCGACACGACGCGCAGCAGCTGCAGCAGCTCAAACACCTAGAGTCCTTGTGAGTCTGCGGGGCGCCGCCGCCCCTCACGGGAAGGGGGCTGCGCGCCAGGCCGGGCCCGGGCGGTCCCTGCCCTCTGGGCCGCGGCGGGAGCCGGGAATCCGGCGACACGGGCCGGCGCCTCAGGCCCCTCCTTTGCGCGTAGAGTGGCGGCCCCGGCGCCCGAGAGCTTAGCCTCGTTCTGSGAGCGGCAGACCCGGGCCCGGAGGCACCTCCCGCACACATGGAGGGCGGTGTCGGCTCCTGGGAGGCCGCGCGCGTKTCCCCGCCGCCGCCAGGAGGAGCCACGTCTCGGGGACGCGGGCGGCGTGGTGGACCGAGTGACGAACACGCCCCGCCAGGCACTTTGGGGCCTGTGGTTCCTCGTTTCCCTATGATGGCCCACCGCGAAGGGGCGACCCCCGACCCTTCATCCTCGGCCGTTAAGAGGGAAGAGGAGCCCCGGGAGTGTCGCTGTGCTATGGGGAGCAGACTGGAGCCCGAGAGCTGGCCTTGAGCGTGCCAAGGCTGGCGGCGGGGTCGGCGAGCGTGGCGCCTCCGCAGTCCTTCGAGTCCGGGCAGGGTCCAGACTCCAGAGGCCTCCAGGAGTCCAGATGACCTGGAGAGCGCGGGCTGCAGRGGAGAGTCAAGTGGAATCTGAATCTGCCCTTCTAGGTTCTTTGAGTGGGCTCCGCCACATGGGAAGGGAAAAGCCATGTTAGAGACGCGAGAAAGAGCCAGGGAAGCCGGGAGGCTGAGGCTGGAGGATCTCAAGTTCCAGACTAGACAGAGCAACTTACCCTGTCTCACAATAAAAAATAAAGGCAAAAGGGGGTGTAGTTCAGGGGTAGAGTGTCGCCCTAGGATTTTATCCCCAATACCGGGGGAGAGAAAAAAAAAA